GTGCAGCACATTATAGAGAAAAAAGTGAAGTAATTGTTCATTTACATTGATAAAGTGCGTGTGAGTGTCTTCATGGACCCGTTTGAGTTACATTTTACCCTCCAGAATATTATGTTATTCTGTCTACCCATGTTCACTTTATTTTACTTAATAACATTTTTTGGTAAGTAAAAAAAAAAATGCAATATGATAGCCAGTAGCTTACAAGGAATTCATCACAACGCAAATGGTCCTTTTCTAAATCAATGCTATAACACAACAAGTAGATTTTCTTTTAAAAATGACAGTCATAATGACTCTCAAGGAGCCACACTGTTATACTTCTTTTCTATAAGCACAGATGACCTAACTTTATTCAGTGGTATACCTCATTATTTTCACAATATTGTGCATTTGAATATGGCAATTAATATTAAACATGAAAATTGCTGGGGCTCCAGGGTGGCTCAGTCTGTTAAGCCTCTGACTCTTGATTTCGCTCAGGTCCTGATCTCAGTGTTCGTGAGTTTGAGCCCCTCATCAGGCTCTCTGCTGTCAGCACAGAGCCTGTTTGGGATTTTCTCTCCCTCTCTCTGCCCCTGCCCCTCCCTGGCTTGTGTGTGTGTGTGTGTGTGTGTGTGTGTGTGTGTGTGTGTGTGTGTGTGTGTGTGTGTGTGTGTGTGTGTGTGTGTGTGTGTGTGTGTGTGTGTGTGTGTGTGTGTGTGTGTATGTGTGTGTGTTTTCTCTCTCGCTCTCTCCTCTCTCTCTCTCTCTCTCTCAAAATAAATAAATAAACATTTAAGGAAAAAACATGAAAATTGTTGACCTAAGCAGATAGAATCATTTTTGGTCATAAAATATATGATCTGAACATTGTAACCATATGAGAGTCTCTTTGGAAGTGACTATAAATTTAACAAATATCATATTCTCCAATTCATGTTTCTATTTTGAAATGCTTTAAAAAAGTACCCCCCCCCAGAGGGGGGATTTGAGAGCATTTGGCAATGTCTAAAGACACTGTGATATGGTGGTAACAGAAGGGAGGGTACTAAGCATCTAAAGTTTGGAAGCCAGGGATGCCACTGAATATCCTACAATACACAGAACAGCAAAGAATCATCCAGTCTCATACATCAATTAGTGGCAAGGTTGAAAAACTCTGATGTAGAGAGAGATGATTCCCTAGATAATAGCTGAAACTCAACGATATAAACCAAAGAGGTAAAGAGAAACATTACATTGAAAAACATTCATTGACAACCACTCTAGTTTGTTTTGTATATATATTTCTTTATGAAACCACTCAGAATGCCGTAGACTTTTTCTGCTGATTATTACCCACTGACAAGAATCATGCAACCACATTATGCTTTGCTCAGTGGTCACATAGCACACAGCATAGTCAGAGGGCTCCCTGACCATCCCTTAGTGCTACAGATGTACAAGAAACAGTAATCTGACAAATACTTGCACACTCAGGACGTCTCTTGTGCTGCCTTCTCTGTATTCTCATAGCATAGTCTGCTGCACTGTGAAAGGAATTCATCATTTGTACGACAATCCTGTTAATTTCCCCCTTAACAACATACACACACACTCACGCACGTGCACATACAACCCTAAGTAGACCATAAACCTATAGGGAAGATAAGAGTCAAGAGTATTTTGCATTATTGTGTCTTCTATGTGTAATGCCCTTTTAATTTTTTTCTTGTCTATTTACAAACCCATGCACACTATGTAAAATTATTTGAGGATGTCTTCTCTAAGTTTGCAAGCTGGACTTTCCACTTTATGGTTCCCTTATATTTTTGCTAATCAAGCACTATATTTAAATTTTATGTTTATATGTCTGTAGCCTGTTCAAATTTAAGGACTTGTTTCTCCTTCCTTCCTTCCTTCCATTTTTTTAAACATTTTATTACCAGCCACTATCAGTTCTTAGCACATAAAATGCCTTTCTTTCCTCTCTCTCTCTCTCTCTCAAGAATTAAAGAGATACAAAACAGTAGATTTTTTTTTCTTATGACAGGATGATCCACAAATTAAGTAATGAGTATATGATAAAAACAATGATTTTATCAGGCACCATAAATGTTTTTAAACATAAATGTTTTTATCATAAGCCTGCATTTCAGTTTTTATTATCACTTTATAAATAACATCTATATGTATATGTAGTTTCTAATAAAGAAGAATGCATTACTCTCATAGCAAATGAAGCCCACAACCCGTTTTTAGAAGTAATCACCCTCACCACTATGTGGGTTTCTTTCAGATATGCCCTATGTGCCCATATACTACACAACACATCCTTATTTTCTAGAATAAACTGTAGCTTATTCCACATGCCTTTCTGAAAATGTTTTTTTCTCACTAAAACAATACAGATCTTCAGCATGTATATACATGAAAATTCATTCATTTTAAGGCTACATAAGAAATCTGTATATGTTTGAAGAGTCATTGATTTGAAAACTTCCTTATTAGTGGAACTTAAGTGTATTATTATGAATAATACCATAATGGGCATCCTTTCACATATATCTTTGTATAACCATGTGAACACATCCATAAAATAGTTCTCTATAATAGAGGTTGTCCAACAAATGGATATGTTCTCCTTAAAATGTTGAAAGATATTGTTAAATTGCCATCCAAAACAAAACACAACACAACAAAACAAAACAACAAAAAACAAACTATGGGAATTCACCTTTCTGCTAACAGTCCTGCAACTTTAACAACTTTGTGAATTATCAGACTTGCATACTTTGGTAGGTGAACATTGGTTTCTTCTCCTCCTTTGTGGTTTCTTAAATTACTAGTGAAATTTGAGTTTTTTCTGTGGATAATTAACACGTTTCTTTTTCTTGTGAATCTCCTGCTAATGGGATTTCCCCATTTTCTTATTTGGTTCTAATGAATTTTGTGTTATTAAAAAAATCTTATGTAATACAAAATAGTCCTCTGTCCGCCACGAAGGTTTTTAAGTATTTCAGTTCATTTTTCTTTTGATTTGGATTAGTTTATTATTTGATGGCTATATTTTCAAATGCTTATTTGAATTCAATTCAATTCATTGAATTGAATGCTTATTTAAATTCATGTCTTCTTGATTATTGGTTATTGGATTCTTATCTTACGTTGAAAAGTCCTTCGTCTACTTCTTTATTTTATTTTTTTTTTTTTAGTTCTTGTGTTTTCATTAGCAGATTCAAAGTTTTAGGTTTTTTAGAGTTTAATCATTGATTTATTTCCCATTTACCTTGTCCTCAAGTGTGGAGAAAATCACACTATTTCAATTGTGTCAGCATCACGAGTACATCTGGTCCTCCACCTGAGCCCCACTCTTTAGCTCAGTTAATGGGGTTACTTTCCATTTCTTGACACTTTCATTTGCTTCACTCTCCAGCCATCTGTGTCACAAAGATTTTTCAACTTTTGGCACACATATCTACCTGGAAACTGTCCGTTGTCTTTATTCACACTATATGTATCTAATGTACATATTTTGGAGGTGTTAGGGAATTTTTTTTCAAAAGCATATTCTCGTTGGACTCCCTAAAGATTAGATTTCTAGCATAAATAAATGTCTATTCCCTTACTCAGGCAATTTAGGATGAATTCTCCTCCTTATGGTATGTAGCCATCCCTGAACCCAATCCTTTAAACAAAAACAAAATAACATCAAATCTATATCCATATGGCAAGAAGGAGACCCCCACCCCTGGCTCAATAAGCTGTACAGATTCTGGAACATCCACTATTTTTCTTATAATTATTCCATAAATAGCTTAAACCAGGTTTTAAATTTCTAACTATATTAAAAAAAAATTGGGAACTTAAGAGCTGAACCTCTGTCTGGCTTAGAAATATTTTCTAGGTTCACTTCTTACTAACCATGTGATCTTGGGCAAATTATTTAATTCTATGTATCAATTTCATCCTCTGTAAAAGGAGAACCACAATGTTGCCCTTGTCCATGATGATACAAGCATGAAATTATTACACATGGCATGCAATGCCTGACATATAGTAAGTGCTCTATAAATACTCCTTGATGCTGTTTCAGTGATCATTACCACAACTGCTTTGATGACTTGTAGTCTCCAGTCCTGGCGAAGCTAACTGGTTGTTTTGGGCTGATCGATTTTAGATTTTCTGCAGAACTCACAGTCAACATTCAAAATATCCAATTTCCTCTTCGCCCCTAATCAAAACTTCTATGGATTCAATGAGTCTACACTTGATGGCAACTAAGATTTAAGGGTGTGACATCAACTGCTAGCTACATCAGAGGCAAAAAGGAAAAAATCCTTTAAGGGTTGTTTTACGTTTTAAGATAAATAAGCTTTGTAAATGCTTATGAGTATCTAAAAAGTTTTATTGAATAATGTAGCTATTACTTACATTTTTAATGCTGTTATAATTGGGTCATAAACTACAATCTTTTTTTTATATTTCCTTTTTTTTTTTCAATATATGAAGTTATTGTCAAATTGGTTTCCATACAACACCCAGTGCTCATCCCAAAAGGTGCCCTCCTCAATACCCATCACCCACCCTCCCCTCCCTTCCACCCCCCATAAACCGCAATCTTAAAAGACATGTAGTAAAATATCTCAAACATTACAGTGTCTATTTTTATTTATGCAAATTGTCACCTTGAGTATGTTGATATCTCTGTAGCAATATAAATAAAGAATTTACATGGCTAAAAAACCCTGTCAATTAAGCAAGAATTGCCGATGTCTCCCCGTTAATGATGTTTTCTTGATACCTAAGCATTACCTCTACTTTAGCATTCAGAAATTAATTTTAATAAATAACATACCATCTAGACCCAATATCCTTTAATATTTTAGGCCACGTGTAAATATTAAGATGTTTCGAAATTTCTTCGGATATCTCCACGCACAAACACACACACAAAGTTGAAAACTGGTTTTCAAAAGATGATCATCTGGATTCTCAAAACTATATTAACTGCTAAAGTGAATAATGCTTTTTCTTACCCATATCTGACATTTCAGGCACAGTAACGATGTATGGTCCATCTGTGAACTTTGGAGCGTTGTCATTGATGTCTTGTACTTTGATTATGAACTCGGATTCAGGCTCAAGAGGCTTGTTTGTTCGACGGTCGATAGCCTGGGCGTGAAGCACATAGTGGGTCTTCTGCTCTCTGTCTAGGCTTTTCGTTGAGTGGATGTCACCGGTGGTGTCATCGATGATAAATATAGTTCCGGCACCTTCTCCAGTAAGGATGTACTTGACAGACCCATCGCCTTTGTCAGAATTGGAGTGCAACTGTCAAATAAAAATGAAATACTTTAGCGTGAAATTATATTCCAGCCTCACGTCGTGTTATCTGAAAATTATCTATAATTTTGAACTTAGTTTGGTTATAACTTTTCTTACCTTCACAGTCTACTATATGGTGCTATAATCATTTCCTTTTCTGCAGTTTTTCTCTACTTGGTATTGATATAGATATCTTTTATCATGATCTATCTAAGAAATCCAATAATCAATTTAAGAGAAATTAATAAGCAATAGTAATTAAATAAAAAAAACAATAACCCTTGATGTCATCTAGTAAATCACCACTGCATTAACTACACAGAATAGAATTGGATAAAGAAATTACCAAGAAATCACTGTTGCCCGCAATACTTCCAGGAATAATGACTTTTTATATTAATTGTTTGGCATTTTATTTCAAACTTAAAATTTAAAAAAAAGAAAAAAGAATAAATGGCAGGATGAGATTCAAATTATTAAAAACTTCCACAAAAGAGGCACTTATTTGTTATAGAGAAATTAATATTATAATGTGAAAAATAAATATATATATATATTACAGATTAATTGTTCAGATTTAGAATGAAAGAAAACACAGAATATTTTTTTTATTATTATTATAAAACTTTAACTGAAAATTTAAATAGGAGTGCTTGATTTAATCAATACATGGTCCTAATTTTTAACTAATAGAAATACACTAATGAATTCTCATTTATTAAAATAAAAGTGGAATATTACACTAATAGATACTACAAAAGGAATATTTCACTAACGAAGAAGTATTTAATAACAAAGGTAAATACATATTAAGATAATTATAAACCACTTTTTTGTCATTTAAGCATCAGGAAATGCTTTTAACCTGCATGTGATTCATACTTCTTAATCTATTGTAACTTCCGCCATCTTTGCATAAGTGCCATTGCTATATTTCTAGCTAGAAATAACCACAATTTTTCTTAAATCTCACACATCTATTTGAAGAATTGTTTCTCTTGAGAGATCTGAAGTTATCCTTCATATGACATCTTTCTGGTAACCTAACGTCAACTACTCACCTTTTGCTCAATTGTGACACTTGGAAACATTGAAAAAATATAACCTTGTTCCCCTAAGTTTTGGATTTCTTACCATAATAAAGAGAAAATTTTCAAGGATTATTTTAAAGTCTCTGAACCCTTAGAAGACGTTTTCAAAAAGAGAAAATATAGAAAAATATAATAAACTATGACAAAAGGACTATTCCATGGTAAAATGAAGGCAACTAAATATAAATTGTAGTATATCCTAAATAATCTTATATCTTTCTTGAAAACACATAAGGTGTAAACAGGGACAAATTCTGATGGGAATCACCTAGCAAGATTCCACAAATCGTTATCTTTTCAAAACTGATTTTTTGGAGCTTTTATAGAGATGAATAAAAATGCATTAGCAATGTATGAAAAACACAGCTTTCAAAGATTCACACTTCATTAGTAAATTAACAGCTAAAAGAAGAATGCAGCATGAGTTGTGTGGAGACAATTGCATGCATGGATGGAAATGTATTTAGTCATTTCTTTTGGTTTCTTGCCATATCTTTTTAGCATCTAGAAGAAAAATTTATCATTTCTGAAGCAGATACACCTGCAAAATATCAACAGAGTGGCCTGTTTCAGTCTCCAGCTTTGCTTTAATCTGTGACCCAAACAGAGCAACAAATTCATTTAAACAAATGGTTTTAAAACCTTTTCTCAAAATCTCTTGTTATGAAGTGAAACATTAGATAGTCTTATTAGCTATTGTTATACTATACATTAATTATAAGTCTATATAATGAAATTAAAACCCTTTTGGGGAAATGTCTTGTAGTTCTACCATCTAATTTCAGAAAGACAGCGATGGTGATGATTGACTTTTATCATCAGGATATATTTTTATATTCTTCTATGTTCTTAGGTTATTTTGATATTATTTTATTTTGTGTTAAAAGTTTGTATTACAAAAGTTGGTCATATTTAAAGAATGGCCTTGGGGCGCCTGGGTGGCGCAGTCGGTTAAGCGTCCGACTTCAGCCAGGTCACGATCTCGCGGTCCGTGAGTTCGAGCCCCGCGTCAGGCTCTGGGCTGATGGCTCAGAGCCTGGAGCCTGTTTCCGATTCTGTGTCTCCCTCTCTCTCTGCCCCTCCCCCGTTCATGCTCTGTCTCTCTCTGTCCCAAAAATAAATAAAAACGTTAAAAAAAAAAATTTAAAAAAAAATAAAGAATGGCCTTATATATGTAGACTTGCAATGAAAGTATATAAAAGAAATAGTAAAGTTGTCAACTTAAAGCACTATGAAAAATATAACACACTCTATGCTTTATGTAGGTTGTGGTAAGCAATTCATATAAGAGAGAAAATGTCAGTAATTTTATGTCTTTAGATTTTAAGACTTGAATCTGGTTCCACATAAAGTGTTTATATTTAACAAACAACTTAGCCTAAATATTTCAGAAGTTATGTCTGACTTGAAAATAGACGTGCAATAAAATCAGTGAATTGTAATTTAGCAGTATTTATAATATTTGATAACATGGTAGAAGTTACATTAAAATGTTGCAAACATGTATTTGAATTTTATAAGGTGTTGACAATGCTTATCTTGAGTGTTTAAATAATGCAGATAATCATTTCAATAATGGAGTATTTAAATCTCTCAGCGGGCCTAGCTGAATCTTGGAATGACTAGTTTTTATGTTAACACTGATGGGAAGCTACTACAACAGCATTTAGGCAAATTAATAGCTTATATGATTAGGATGATCAACATTTGTGAAACAACAAAGTAACCCACTCTCAGGATGACCCCTCATCTATCGTACACCCATTTCCAAATGTTCAGTTTGGTTGGAATACATCCTTTGTAACAGAGATGGAGCCTTAGAGAAAAACCAGCTATAGGGAAAAATCAGCTTAATAAGTGAGCTTTAATATCTGGAAAAGCATGTTTTATATTTGTTTTTTTAAGGCAACAGATGATGCATCAGTGAGTGAATGAATGAATGAAATGGCTGAGCAGGAATGGTGGTAGTAGTGTGCGTAATCTTAAAATAGGACAGGAAGCTCTTTGATGCAGACAATCAAGTAATATGGATAACCAAGGGAGAGATGTGTTGTCTCTGAGTGTGGGCAACAATAAAGCATCAAAGGAAAGAAGCAGAAGTAGGGCACATGCAGTAGAAATACTCTGGATATAGACATGGAGCTGACTTAGCAACAGCAAAATATGATGTTGTAAGATGAGCTAGCTCTTATGCTATTTAAGAGAGATTTTCATCATATTGTACATTGACATGTAAAAATATTTGGGAGACAAAGTTGATGTTAGTCATCAGTATTGAACTCTTTTTGGCAGACAGTTTGGAAATAACAGAGAGAAAACAGTGGCAGGGTTTTATAACACACAATGGTAGCAGTATACTCTCCGAGTCATGAGATTTTGCAAAGTGAGTGATATTTTTTATGCTGAAGGACAGATGTTACAATATTGTCCTAAAGCAAGAAGGGACAATGCTCGCGTATGTGATCACATAATAAAGTAGGGTTAATGAACTACTCTTTAGAAAACAGAAAAGGGGAGGAGAATGAAGAAAGAAAATGAAACCACTCAAGTAAAGCAAAATGACCACTTCTCTGGCATGACTTTAATAAATTGTCTCTTTCTTATGTTAAGTAGTAACCTATGGCACTTGGAAAGCTAATATGACTCACATGAGTTCCCCCTGGAAAACTATTTATTCACCCTGGACCACATTCGGATCAGGACCTAAAAATTTATAGCTTTCACTCCAACTACAGAGTTCTTCACTAAGATAATATTCTATCCCTTAGGGAAGAATAACTTTAAAAGGTTAAGAAGATGATGGCAGAGCAATTAATTTCAAAAGTTGCTTTTAGTGAAGACTTTAAGCCACGTTAAAAAGATAGGTCACTGACTTAAAACGATAATATTTTGAACTACATATTTTATGTAATTTTTTTATGAGTAGGAAACTTATATTTACAGCATTCCAGGGGAAGCCAGCAGTAAACATTGCATAGTAATCCCACTATGATTATTTTTCCAACACATAAAATGATGCAATATAAGGATCACAAGAAATACATATTATTAAAATTTATTATGCACCCTTTATTCCACAACGTGTTATATTTCAAACAATAAGTAGATGAAACAAAATTCAATTGAACTGTTAATAAGTAATTGACGTAAAGAGGAAAAAACATTTCAAATCATATTAGTCTCTTGGTAACTAACATATCTATCTTGTGCAAGAAAAATACAGAACCGTCAGTTTTAATTATGCATCAATTAATATGCAAAAAAGTTACATTAGAAATAGTGATGAAGTACTCTGTTCAACCACATATCTGATGTCAATTAATTAAAAGGGTAAGAAATTAGGTGAGAGTAAGGAAATAGGTGTGGTTGTTGAACTAGAAACATCGGAGCTCTTTGCCAACATGTAAAAGCCTCCCGTTGAATTTCAGTTTTTCACTTTTAACTTCTTAATCAGTATTCTCAGAGAAGGAAACTAATGAATGAGGAGGAAGAGGGAAAAGAACAGGAAGCAGCACGTGTTTATTATATCCCCTGAACCCCAGATTAAGGGTATTAACGTACAAGATAAAAAAACTGTAAGATATCTCTGAAGTCTGAGTTGCTATAATTCCATATCCTTCAGATATCCTCTAGAGAGCCCCATCTGGGTGTGCCAAATATTGGGGCACTGCAGGAGGCAAGTCAGTGGTTGAGAATTTCACTTTTAAGTGTTGGAAACCCTCAAAAACTAGCCAATCGATTAAAGTTGCAATGAGATATATGAGGCACAGGAGGACCTATTCTCTGATATCAGAGTTAATCTCTGTTCTTTCATCTGCCAATTAGGGTCTAGCTGAGAAAGAGATGGCCCTGGAAGCTGGTTTTAAAGAAAAAGAAATCTCAGAGTGTACTAACATTAGTACAATTCCGGCCCCA